CCGTTAAACCTGTCTGGTTAAACCCTAAAACATTTTTTAATGTGTCAGTGGGTGACATGTTAGGGTTAGGGTTAAACCTGACTGGTTTTCGGACCCCCCCAGACCCCCCCAATAAAGCAAAACTGCACGTTTCAGAGTGGCCTTTTATTGTGGCCAGCCTAAGGCACACCTGTGCAATAATCATGCTGTCTAATCAGCATCTTGATATGCCACACCTGTGAGGTGGGATGGATTATCTCGGCAAAGGAGAAATGCTCACTATCACAGATTTTTTCAGATTTCTGAACAATATTTGAGAGAAATGGTTATTTTGTGTATATAGAAAATGTTTTAGATCTTTGAGTTCATCTCATGAAAAATGGGAGCAAAAACAAAAGTGTTGCATTTATATTTTTGTTCAGTGTAGTCCGACATGGACACTAACTTATTTGTATTGCTCGCCCGTGTGCTTTCCAAGGTGTCTCCGTCTGTCGTGGCCAGGGCCCGTCCTTTGTCCTGCTTGTCTCCACAGTGTGTGCGGTTACATGTTTTGCCGGGGGGCTTCGGCGTCGCATTTGGCATGCTACTACTGACAGAGGTTACAACCAGTTTAGTACATGATGTTGGGGTGTGCATATGCATGTTATGGTTGCTGCTGTGATAAGAGGTTGTGAGAGGCGGCTGTGTAACGATGTGGTGTCCCGTGTTTTTACAGACGCAAGACAAGGTGGGTGTCAGCGCCTTGACTGAGTCACATGGACACGCTTCAGGCCTTATACAGAACACACTTACAGACTAAAAACAACAACACATACATGCATGCACTCCTGATACACAACATAAACACACTAAGTGGCAAGTATCGACGTGTGAAGGAATCGGAGTAAGCTTGATTGTTGAGATCAGTTGGATTATTTGTAGTGGATGTGAATGCACGGTGTGTGGAGAAATGTTAATATAAGTGACCAGTTAAAGGAACGCCTAGTACAGTTATTATGTCAAAGCAAGGCATGGCTTCCTTCCTAACATACTCTTGTACTTAGTTCAGTGTTACTCATGTAGAAAGTGTTGGTAATGCAGTCCTGCCATGCCTACAGTATATGAAGCATACTCTATCCAGTATATGCATGTCATATTTCATGCGTATTCATTTGTCACTCATCTTCTCTCTTTTCTATCTTTTATTGATATGATTTTTTTCTTTCTCCATTATCAACATCTCTTTTTTTGTGTAAATCTTCTTTGGCTGTACCTAAAATAATGTTTCCTCCTCTTTACCCCCATGATTAACACAAATGTCTGTGCACACTGAATGCATCTGACTTTGATATTTTCTATTTGTTTCACTTTTGATACCTCCTTCTTCCATTCTATGGCATCTTCTTTGCCTTTCCATATTGTTGTTCTTGTTTTCTCCTTGTCCTTCCTGTGGCCTCTTCTCCATTTTTCTTCGTATCCATTTGTCCTCTCTTAAACTCCTCACCAACTTCTTCTCCTATCCCAATTCCTCCTCCCCTCTCCCTTAATGCCTCCCCCCCCC